ACAGCCAAAGCTCTGGAAATAGCCCAGGTGCCCCACCATAGATAAGCGGATCTAAAAAACAGTGGAATTTTTCACTGTCATGAGAAAGAATAAAATCACCTTGTGTGCAGGGAAATGGATGGAACCAGAACAGATCATGTTAAGGATACATTTCAGGTTCTATAACTCCTTTATTTCCTTCCTTCCTCCCTCCTCCCCTTCCTTCCTTCCATCCTCCCTCCCTCCCTCTTCTTTCTTTCCTTCCTACTACCCTCCCTCCCTCCTTTTCCTTCCTTCCATCCTCCCTCCCTCCCTCTTCTTTCTTTCCTTCCTACTACCCTCCCTCCCTCCTTTTCCTTCCTTCCATCCTCCCTCCCTCCCTCCTTTCCTTCCTTCCTTCCTACCACCCACCCTCCTTCCCTCCCTCCCTTTTTTTTCCTTCCTTCCTTCCTTCCCCATCCTTTCTGCTACCCTTCTCTCTGTGATGAGTTATCTAACACTGCATTAAATATTCCTGTTGAATCTAATGGCTTAAAAAGATAATACATGAGCTGGGCTCAAACCTGTCATCCTAGCTACTCAGGAGGCTGAGATCTGAGGATCAAGGTTCAAAACCAGCCCGGGCAGGAAAGTCCGTGAGACTCTTATCTTCAATGAAACACTCAGAAAACCGGAAGTGGCGCTGTGGCTCAAGTGGTAGAGCGCTCGTCTTGAGGTAAAGAGCTGAGGGGCAGTGCCCAGGCCCAGAGTTCAAGCCCCACAACCCCCCCCCCCCGGGGCTGGGATGGCCAGACACACACCATCACACATTGGCCACATTTTACCCATCTACTGAGCTACTCTTGGAACCATCCTGTTATTTCTCCACCATGTGTCTTTAAACAAAAACCCATGTCAGCAATGGGACGTATGGAAAGTCACTCTCAGTTTTTTCCATAAGTTGAAGAAAAAGTATTTTGGGGCTGTCTTCCGGATCAGCAAGTTCTCTCGCTGACCAATGTTCCCAACCCCAGATGGCCACCGACGGGGAGAATGGAGACTCCTGACTGCACAGAAAGCCGCCCTTCTGCCTCTGTGGCCTTGGGTGGAGGAGCCCAGCCGTGCCCTTGGCGTGGGCCTCTGTGCGTCACGGGAGTGACACGGCTGGACACGCTCTGGGCTCGTTTCTTTTCATCTGGGCTCCCCCACTTGAAGGAACTGTCCCACGAGAAGGCAGACAGGGGAGCTGGGAAGGTGGCTCAGTGGTAGAGTGCTTGCCTTGCATGCATGAGGCCCTGGGTTCCATTCCTCAGCACCACATGAGCAGAAAAAGCCAGAAGTGGTGCTGTGGCTCAAGTGGTAGAGCGCTAGCCTTGAGCTGAAGAACTGAGGGACAGCGCCCAGGCCCAGAGTTCAGGCCCCACGAACGACAAAAAATAAAAATAAAAAGGCAGACAGGGTGAGCCAACCTCACCCCGAATTCTACTCCAAATAAACACAGAAGGCTGGGGAAACAGAGAAGGCCGGCGAGTGTGGATACGACACGTGCCACACAGTGTATTTATTTCTTAAAAGTAGATATGGATGGAAAGGCGGACGCCAGTGGCTCACGCCTGTCATCCTAGCTACTCAGGAGGCTGAGATCTGAGGATCGGGGTTCCAAGCCAGCCCGGACAGGAAAGTCCATGAAACTCTTATCTCCCACGAACCACCAGAAAACCCGAAGTGGCGCTGTGGCTCAAGTGGTAGAGCGCTCTCCTTGAGCTGAAGGACTGAGGGATGGCATCCAGGCCCAGAGTTCAAGCCCCGTGACTGACAGTATATACATATACACATCCGCCTGCCGGTCCACCAGCGCCCCGCCGGAACACCATGTGTGGTGTCCAGGCTGCGGGTGCGGAAGCGGGGACCATCACTCGTGTACCTGGGAACTGCGGACACGGCCCGGGACAGTTCCCAGCTCGGGCCTCTGCGAGCACTGTTGTGAGAGTCAGGAGCACGATGCAGTGACATCCGCCTGAGGTGCGTGGGGAAGGCAGGATTCCCCTTGAAACTTCCAACTCCAAGGATTTGTTTTTCTTTCTTTTTGGCCAGTCCTGGGACTTGAACTCAGGGCCCGGGTGCTTCATCCCCGAGCTTTTTATTTTTATTTTTTTGCTCAAGTCTGGCGTTCTACCGCTTGAACCACAATGCACTTGTGGCTTTTTCTGCGGAGGTGGCAGACGGAGGAATCGAACCCAGGGCCTCATGCGTGCGAGGTGAGCACTGTACCGAGAGCTACCTGCCCAGTCCGAGGAGTCTTCATCTGCTTCCTGATGGATGGGCATTGTGGACAGGAGAGAGGGGAAAAATCACCACAGGGCCTAGGCACAAGGTGCAGTGGGCACCGGCCATCAGAGGGTGTTCAGACCCCGGAGCCCTTGTGCCCTCGGTGCAGGAAAAGCTCCCAGGACCGCAGGACCCCTGGGGAAGGCCACGTCACCATGCAGGAGAATAAAACACCCAGGCCAAGAGTGCCACCAAGGAATGAACGTATTTGGTACGCGCAAATGACTGAGTTCACGGTTGCCAAGTCGCACACCGCCACCTGGTGGTGGAAGCGCTCATTCGCACGTGGGACCTGCTATCCTGCCTGTTTGCCTGGCCACCTTCCCGGGTGCCACCGTCTGCCATGACCCCCCCCCCCCCCCGCCCCACATCCACGATCCAGGGGCCAGGAGATATGCAAGGCCTTTTGTCACTGCAAGCCGGCCCCAGCTTCTGACTGATTATTACTATTATTATATTTATTATTTTTATTTGTCGTGGGGCTTGAACTCTGGGCCTGGGTGCTGTCCCTCAGCTCTTCAGCTCAAGGCAAGCCCTCTACCTCTTGAGTCACAGCGCCACTTCTGGTTTTTGGTGGTTTATTGGAGATAAGAGTCTCACTGACTTCCTGCCCTGGCTGGCTTTGAACCGTGATCCTCAGATCTCAGCTTCCTGAGTAGCTAGGATGACAGGTGAGAGCTGCTGGTGCCTGGCTGACCCAGACAACATTGAACATTTAAGGTCCCATTTCTAGGCCAGGGCTGGTGGCTCACGCCTGGAATCCCAGCGACTCAGGAGGCTGAAATCTGAGGGCCATGGCTCGAATCCAGCCTGGACAGACTGATTGACAAGACTCACCCAAAAAGCCAGAAGCAGAAGCATGGCTCAGGGGGTTAAGCATCATCAGAGAGCAGACTCAGCCGAGCGAGAGCCTGAGGCCCCGAGTTCGAGCCCCGGTGATGATTTGTTGCTGTTGAATGCGCACAGACGCAGGTCACGATCTCTGGGTTGGGGTGCTGGCAGGAGGCCCAGGCATCGCCCCGGGCTCCTCCCATCGAGGGGACCCCATAGTCATCCCCGCTGGACCGTGGGGAAACCATCTGGCTGGATATTTTCCTGCAGCACACGTCATGTATTAATCTATCCTTCACTCAGAAAACTGGAAGTGGCGCTGTGACTCAAGTGGTACAGAGCTCACCTTCAGCTGAGACAGTGTCCAGGCCCAGAGTTCAAGTCCCGACCAAAAAAAAAAAGTTAAAAAAATTCCAGTGATTATCACTCCAATGTCATCCATGCCAAAAACCTAACAAGAAACACATGGCATTTTAATACATTTTAACTCAACGTTGCAAAAATAGAACTTTAATAGGTAATCAGTCTTAAAACATATGTAGTACCGGTGAGAGATTTTTGTGTGTGTTTATATCAAGTTTTTTTTTTAAATCTCCTGTGAACTTCACCTTTACTCTACTTGGATGTCAGATTTTGATTCAAAATAGTTTCTTTGTGCTTAGATTTCACAAAATTTACAGTTGGAAAAAAAAAACAAACCAGATTCATCTACCCAAGTCATTCCAGCCATTCTTGGAATTAAGTGCTTCCTGTTGAAATACTAAGAGATTTATCATTACAGAGCTTACAGTCAGTCGCGTGTCTTTATCCAGTACAAACATTCATCTTACTGCTAGAAGAATGTTTAAAAAAAGGAATGCAATTACGTGTTTGTCAAAGTAACACGAAATATTCCTGTTGGTACTGGCTTGATTTTAACCCTAGTAATCATAATGTGAAAATACACCCGTGCCAGTGATTTAGAAATAGCTCTCTGAGGTGGACTCTAGGCCATGTCGAGATGAAAGTCCCTTGTAAAACTAATTGTTTAAAAAAAAAAGAAAAGAAAAGAAAGAAGAGAAACGTAGCTGGGGTGCTGGTGGTTCACCGCCTGTCATCCTAGCTACTCAGGAGGCTGAGATCTGAGGATGGTGGTTCAAAGCCAGCCTGGGCAGGAAAGTCCATGAAACTCTTACCTCCAAATAACCATCAAGAAAAGCTGAAAGTAGAGCCGTGGCTCGAGTGGTAGAGCTCTAGCCTTGAGCAGAGGCTCAGGGGCAGCGGCCAGACCCTGAGCCTAAGCCGTGGACTGGCAAAAAAAAAAAAAAAAATAAAAAACATTGGCTGTCAGATTTACTTCATGATCTGGTTACAAGTTTCAGTTCCAAAATTAAATAGTATCTGGGCACCGCGGTTCACTCCTGTAATTGTGACTACTCCAGAGGCAGAGGTGGGGAGGATCACAGTTCGAGGCCAGCACCAGGCAGAAGAGTCCATGAGACCCCCCCACCTCCATGTTGATTTAAGAAAAAGCTGGCCGGGCGCTGGTGGCTCACGCCTGTCATCCTAGCTACTCAGGAGGCTGAGAGCTGAGGATCATGGTTCAAAGCCAGCCTGGGCTGGAAACTCCGTGAGACTCTCATCTCTAATAAACCACTAGCAAACTGGAAGTAGCGCTGTGGTTCAAGGGGTAGGGTGTTCACCTTGAGCTGAGGGATAGCGCCTAGGCCTAGAGTTCAAGCCCCAGACCGAGAAAGAAAAGAAAAGAAAAAGAAAAGGCTGGCATGCTGATATTCCAGCTGTGTGGGAGGCAGAAAACAGGAGGATGGTGAGCCAGGCAGAAAGCCAGACACCCCCCGCCCCCATCTCAGCAATAACCTAGGCAGAAAGCCAGACCCCCCCCCATCTCAGCAATAACCCAGGCAGAAAGGTCAGAGGACATGGTTCAAGTGGTAGAACACCTGCCTAGTGAGTGTCGGCTCTGAGTCGAAACTCTGGTACAAGATAAAAACCGAGAGAGCGTAGATGGTGAGGTAGCTGGGGGGAGACCTACTGGTAACTGCGGGTGTCTTCTCTGTTTACCCCACATCCACGCCATCGTTTCAGCATCTGGGATCAGAGGAGGAGGAAGGAGGCAGCCCTGTGCCAATGGCTGGTGGGGAGCCCGGGCGCTGGCTCTTCCTCCTTACATCTTGGCTGCCAACCTCTTGACTTGTTCCCGCAGCTCCATCTTGGCGACTGTGGACAGGTGGACTTCATCGGGGCCGTCCGCTAAGCGCAGGGTTCGAGACAGGGCATACCTGAAGAGAGAGAAGCAGCAGCAGCAGCTGGCGGGCGGCTCACGCATGCTCATCCGAGCTGCTCTGGAGGCTGAGGGCTGAGGGTGGTGGTTCAAAGCCAGCCTGGGGCAGGGACGTGTGTGAGGCTCATTTCTACTGAATCACCAAAAAGGCTGCAGGTGGCGCTGTGGCTCAAGTGGTAGAGTGGCCGCCTTGAACAACAAAGCTAAGGGATGGCGCCTCTAGCTCCAAGTACAAGGAAAGAGAGAGATGGGAGGGGGGAGGAAAGGGGCGAGGAGGAAGGGGAAATATCACAGGGGAACATACTTCAATGTCTTGGTAATGCTAACCCAAGACAGTACTGAGCCTGCCAAGGCAGGAATAGAAAAAGCTCAAAAGCACATATTCCAGATGTGTATATTTTATTTCTAAGCCTGTCAGACAGAGAGAGTTTGGCAGTCCTGGAATTGAAATTGCGGGCACTGCGCTTGCTAGGCGGGGGCCCTTCCACCTGAGCCACACACCTCAACTTCCACCCTTTTCATTTATTTTATTTATGGTTGGTCGTGGGGCTTGAACTCTGGGCCTGGGCGCTGTCCCTCAGCTCTTCAGCTCAAGGCCAGCCCTCTACTGCTTGAGCCACAGCGCCACTTCCGGTTTTCTGGTGGTTCACTGGAGATCAGAGTCCCATGGACTTTCCTGCCCCAGGCTGGCTTTGAACCGTGATCTTAATATCTCAGCCTCCTGAGTAACTTGGATGGCAGGCGTGAGCCATGGCTGCCTGGCCATTTATTTATTTATTTAGAGACAAGGTCTCACTGAAGAGCCCGGGCTGGCATGCAACTTGAAATCCTTCTTGAGAACTGGGATCATAGGTATATACTGCTATCCCTGGCTAGAGAAAGACTATTAGCAGTTAAAATGCCTGTTGTGCCAGGTGCCGGTGGCTCACGCCTGTCATCCTTGCTACTCAGGAGGCTGAGATCTGAGGATCGCGGTTCAGGAAAAGTCCGTGAGACTCTTCTCTCCAATGAACCACTCAGAAAACTGGAAGTGGCGCTATTGCTTAAGTGCTAGAGTGCTTTCCTTGAGCTGAAGAGCTCAGGGACTGTGTCCAGGCCCCAAGTTCAAGGCCCGTGACCGACTAAAGAGAAGAGTCTGTTATTCTCGATGCCCATCGGCTGGCAGGCACAGGGCTCCAGCCCGGAGCTTACAACCCAGCCAGGAGTGGAGACGCCCTTGGGTGAGGGGGTACTCACATGTTGGCTAGAGGGAAGTCCTGGGAGACGCCCGCGCCCCCGCACACCTGGATGGCCCGGTCGATGATCTTGCACACGGCCCGCGGGGCGGCCACTTTGATCATGGCGATCTACACCGGGCGAGAGGCACAGAGAGGGTTGGTGGGCATCTTCTCTGTGAAAGGAGGGGGGTCTCCGGTGCTCTACCCCAACCTCAGTCACCAAGGCCTCTGGGCAGAGGCCACGCGGCCGGACCATGCCTGTGTTTGCTGCTGCTGCCTCCTGTGAGGACCGCAGGGGACCTCTGAGTGCCCCCCTAAACTTCGCTGAGGAAAGTGGGTGATCGTGCCTCACTGCGTTTTCTCTTAGGGGCTTTTAGAACCAAGTGGTTTCTGTCCTTACTCCAGGGGAGCCGCAAGGGACTGTGGGACACGGCCATCCCACGAAGCGCTGTGTCACCACCGCTGTCCCCACGATGGGAGCCAAAGGTGCAGGGGGGGGGGTTGGACACCCCGCCCGGGCTCACAAGGCTAAAGGACAAAGCCTGGGCTTTGCCTGCTCTCAGTGCCGCCTCTCAAGGATGCTACGGAAGAATCACTCCACCCCCTGGTGCGGCCCCAGGGCCAGAGACCCGACAGTGTGTGAACCAGGGACTCGAATCTTGTGTGAACCAGGGACACGATCATCTGTGAACCAGGGACTTGATCGTCTGTAAACCAGGGACGTGATGGTCTGTGAACCAGGGACTGGACCATTTGTAAACCAAGGACAGGATCATTTGTAAACCAGGGACACGATCGTCTGTAAACCAGGGACACGGATCTCATGTGAAGCAGGCCCACGATTGTCTGTGAACCAGGGACTCGATCGTCTGTGAACCAGGGACACGGATCTCATGTGAAGCAGGCCCATGCGGGGCTGCTGGGGTGTGTGTGTGGGGGGGGCTCACCTCCTTCCTGGCCTCGGCGCTGCCCCGCGTGTCGATGCTGTGGGCGGCGCTCAGCGTCAGCAGGCGGATCTCCTCGATGGCGATGCGGCTCTCGGCGATCCAGTGCGCCACCACCTCCTGCGGGCAAGGCCAGGTTGCTGTGAATGCCAATGACCTCCGGTGCCCCGCAGACACAGCGCTGCCCTGCCTGCCCTCGGCGTGAGGACAGGCACCCCGACGGCGAGGAATGAAGCCTGCCGAGACGAGTCGGACCGGTGGACAGCTATGGGGCCCGGCTCAAACCACAGCCACGACCAGCTGTGGCCCAGCCACAAAAGGCCGGCACGCCTTCAGCAAGCTCAGTGTGAGCATCGCTAACCACGTGTGGTGGCGGCACAGCTGCCAGTCGAGAGTCTGGACGGACGTGACATAAACTTAACACTCAGATCTCTTTTCTTTTCTTTTTTTTTGGCCAGTCCTGGGGTTTGAACTCTGGGCCTGGGCACTGTCCCTGAGATGCTTTTTGCTCAAGGCTAGTACTCTACCAGTTGAGCCATGGCTCCACTTCTGGCTTTTTCTGTGTATGTGGTACTGAGGAATCGAACCCAGGGCTTCATGCATGCTAGGCAAGCACTCTACCACTAAGTCACCTTCCCAGTCCAACACTCAGATTTAAAGGTTGGTTTTGTGTTTTCTTTTTTCTCCCTAAAATCAATGTAAAGTCCTCTCACTGATAATATTGTTATAGGCATTCTATGTGGACCATATTTGGGATACAGTAGCGGAATTAAAAACTTTTTTTTTAAAGATCAAGCTCATCCGTTTTCTTTTTACGTGTTTTTGAATATGTGGCTACAAAGCCAGTGTGGTGGTGTGCGCCTGTGGTCCTGGCACTGAAGAGGCTGAGACGGCATAAGGAGAAACTGTCCCTGCAAAATAAAATAAGCTGGGCGCCGGTGGTTCACGCCTGTCATCCTAGCTACTTAGGAGGCTGAGATCTGAAGATTGGTGTTCAAAGCCAGCCTAGGCAGGAAAAATCTGTGAGACTCTAACTTCCAATTAACTACCAAAAAAAAAAAAAAAGCTGGAAGTGGATCTGTGGCTCAAGTGGTAGAACACTAACTTTTGAATACAAAAGCTCGGAGTCAGTGCCCAGATCCTGAGTTCAAGCCCCAGGGCCAGTGAAAAGAATAAATAAATAAAATGTAGTTTATGACTACAAGACTTAAAATGTCATCTGTGGCTCACACACTGTTTCTTATTGTGTGACTCAGAAACCAGGCTCCGAATTAACCACTTCAAACAGGCATCGGTCCATGCCTAGGAGCTTGCTTGGCTACGGATCTTGGAAATTACAGCTTCAGGAACAGGACTAGAAAGGCCTGTACCTCTCAGCTTTCCCAGACACAGGCAGAGGGACACACTCGCCTTCTCTGGGATGAATCTTCACAGACAGTAGATTTACCGAAGAACGTAACATGGGTGGCGGCTGAGGGCTTTAGGAACCATCAAGTGTCTAACAAAGCTGGAACTTTGCTGGACAGCCTGGAATAATCAAGAATCCAGCTGGAAGGAGTCTCCAAGTTGAGGGAAATTAAATGTTACTTTTGCAAACCAGGAGGGGTGTGGGGGGGGGGAGGAAAAAAAGAAAAGAGCTGGCTCAGGTTTCCTGTTTATGACATGCACACACATGTCTTTTTGTTTCCGCCAGCTCGTTTATTTATGCCAGATGCATAAAGTTTCCGATGAAGATGCGCGTGTTGTTTTAAAAAGCCCAGGCGCCAGTGGCTCACGCCTGTCGTTCTGAGATCTGAGGATCCGAGGTTCAAAGGCAACCCCGGGCAGGAAAGGCCGTGAGACTATCTCCCATGAACCACCTGAAAACTGGAAGTGGTGCTGTGGCTCAAGTGGTAGAGTGCCCGCCTTGAGCTGAAGAGCTGAGGGACAGCGCCCAGGCTGAGTTCAAGCCCTATGACCGATCCCCCGCCCTCCAAAAAAAAAATTTACCTAGTGAGCACAGACACTTCACACAATTAGCTCAAGTAACCATCACTATTTTTCCTGGCCCTCTCCCATCTCTCTCCACCCTCTGCGCTATTGCTAGTAGGAATCTTAGCATTAGTAACTGTTGCTATTGTGAGTAACACTGAGCACTGGAATACATTGTTCCTGCAGGATTGTATAAAGTAGTCCTAAATGTACTTTATATTGGGATCAATATACTTGTTAAACAAATGCAAATACAATACCACCAACACAAATCTGATCTAATACTGACAGGTTACCAATAGGAAGTAATAAAGAATAAGGGACTGGGAGTGTGGCTCAGTGGTAGAGTGCTCGCCTAGCACGCATGAAGTCCTGGGTTCGATTCTGCAGCATCACATACACAGAAAAAGCTGAAGTGGTCCTGTGGCTCAAGTGGTATAGTGCTAGCCTTGAGGACAAACAGACTCAGGGACAGTTCCTGGGCCCTGAGTTCAAGCCCCAGGACTGGCAAAGAAAAGAAGGAACTCCTTACGTGCTCATACAGTTTCTTGTTAAAGGCGCTCCTTTGTGCCGACCGCTCACACATGATCTGCAGTGCGCGCTCTGCCACGCCGATGGCTCTCATGCAGTGGTGGATTCTGCCCGGCCCGAGGCGGCCTTGGGATATCTCAAAGCCTCTGCCTTCCCCTGTCAGCAGGGAGAGAGAGAGAATGTGAGAAGGCGCCCAGCCAATCCTGCCATCCATACGCACCCTCAGACAACTCATCAAAAGTGGCCCTCTGGTGTGGAAGCCAATTCTAGCATGAGGTTTCGTGGTACATGGAGGCGAATGTTGCTTTCTATGTTTATGAGAGTCATTGATCGTTCAAGGCGACTTTCCCTATGCTGTAACTGTCACAAAGGTACGTAGGGGCAGGAGCAGGGGAATTCGGAATCCAGGACCAGGGGCAAAGAAAGGCTGAAGGAGGGAGAGAGTGGATGGGTGATCAAAATCACATTGGGACCAGCTTGGCGAAGGGGGTTGGGGCTGGGGGCTGGGTAGGTGGCATTCTTTACAGGGTTTGAGGAATTCTGTGAGGTCTGGCTGAGATTCCTACTGAGAGGCAGGATGGAGTCCATCCAGGCTTGAGTGTTAACTGCCATTCAGCCACCAGCCTCGACTACCATTGACAAATGACTGAGATTCTCTTAAGTAGAGAAAAAGCCTCTAGATGACGTTGCTCTGAGTTGTACAATTTCCGGATACAGCTGTGTTTGACACTGATGGGAAGTACTGAACCACCTCTAAGATTTAAAGAAGACCTACTATTCCCTGTGAGAAAAAAAAATCCACAGAATGGAAAAAATCTGCCCTTGATTAAAATGGTGCGTTTGAGACAGGAACGCAACTGAGGGCGGACTGTCCACTCATCCATCTCTTGCGGATACAGACGTGAAAAGAGTCACCGGCTGTGCTGGAGAGGAACCGCCCCCACCTTGTCTCACCTAGTATTAAATTGCTGGCAGGAACGCGCACTTGGTTAAAATGGATCTCCATGTGGCCTCCGTGGGACTGATCTGGGAAACAGAAAACACAAGTTCCCAGAGAAAAGATGAGCTCACAGAGTCACAGACAAACGTTCTGCTGGGAGAGATGGGCAAGGACTTTTTTTTCCCCCCAAGTTGTGGGGCTTGAACTCTGGGCCTGGGCACTGTCCCTCAGCTCTTCAGCTCAAGGTGAGGCTCTACCACTTAAGCCACAGCCCCACTTCCAGTTTTCTGGTGGTTCATTGGAGATAAGAGTCTCATGGACTTTCCTGCCCGGGCTGGCTTTGAACCACGATCCTCAGATTTCAGCCTCCTGAGTAGCTAGGATGACAGGTGTGAGCCACCAGCGCCTGTCTCAAGGACCTTTCTAAGTCGACCTCTGCCCTGAACTGCCAGTACCTTCCTCTTCAGAAAATTCAACAACTGGCTAAGGTTGAGGGGGGTTTAAAACTCATTCATTCCGGAGGTTTTTCTCATTTTTATAAAGCTTCAGGGTTATGGAAAAACAAAACTGGGCTTTATAGCTTTTGTTGAACTATTTAATGTTGCTTTTTCTCTGGAGATACGTGCACCTACGTGTGCACACACACAATATTCAGATAAATTTCAGAGGAAAAAAAAAAAGTTTTCCTGTCCCTGGCATGGCCAGAAGACAGATTCTTGTCTTGGCACCGCCCATGCCTCTGGCTCAGAAGGTTCTGGAAATGATCTCCTGCCAACAGCACACCCTTTTCCTGTCCACATGGAGTTAGCAGACAGCCCTTTTAACAGGAGGTTCTTCTTGGAAACCAGGACTTGCAGAGAGGTTGGTGTGTGTGTGTGTGTGTGTGTGTTGGGGTGTGTGTGTGTGTGTGTGTGTGTGTTTCAGGCTGAAAACTGAGGGATGGACTTACGTTCACTGTTCTTGTTTTGCAGGCTGTCTCCTTAACTGCAGTTCACTCAGCACCCCTAGCTTGGCACCTCCCGATAGAGGAGCCGAGGATACCACACATTCTATAAAACTCAAACATCTAGCTGAGCGCTGGTGGCTCACGCCTGTCATCCTAGCTACTCAGGAGGCTGAGATCTGAGGATCACGGTTCAAAGCCAGCCCGGGCAGGAAAGTCCGTGAGACTCTTTTCTCCAATGAACCACCAGAAAACTGGAAGTGGTGCTGTGGCTCAAGTGGTAGAGTGCTCGCCTTGAGCTGAAGAGCTGAGGGACAGAGCCCTGGCCCAGAGTTCAAGCCCCACGACCAACCAAAAACAAAAACCTCAAACATCTATCTAGCTGCAAATCTAGTATCTGTTACTCAGTCATACCCGTCAGTCCCAGTCAAGGCTACAGAGAAAGTTGGGCAGACCAGTTGTTGCCTGTTTTTCCATTGTTCCCTTCCACCAGTGTGTAATTCCACAGAGTCAAGGATCTTAAGTGTACTATGTGCTTGGGCCTTGAGCAGGTCCTGCTCTATGGGTCATGGAGAAGCCGGAGCTCTGCGTGTGTCCATACTGAATGGCAGACAATGGATTCTGGGGAGTTCTACAGCAGCCAGAGAAGGAAAATGCTTTGCACTCAAACAAGTCAAACTCAACCCAGTTCTTGTTGGTTGGTAAAGATCTGCACCTGGAGCTTAAAAAAAAATGTGTTGCTGGGCACTGGTGGCTCACACCTATCATCCTAGCTACTCAGGAGGCTGAGATCTGAGGATCGCTGTTCAAAGCCAGCCTGAGCAGGAAAGTCCCTGTGAGACTCTGATCTTCAATGAACCACCAGAAAACCAGATGTGGCGCTGTGGCTCAAGTGGTAGAGGAGGTCACCTTGAGCTGAAGAGCTGAGGGACAGCACCCAGAGTTCAAGTCCCATGAGCAACCAAAGGAAAAAAAAAAGCGTGTGTTTGTGTACAAATTGTTGATTTAGTTTATCTCTTCCATCACGCTCATGGAGGCAGCAGTCTCTGCTTTCCTCCTGGACTATGGCTTGCCCTTTCCAAACAGCAGATGGCCAGGACAGAAGGCTGCAGGGCCTCCACTATCTGGACATTTGGACAGCTGTCAGGACACGCCTTGCACGTGCAGACGTGGGCTCTTCCCTTCAGGGTTACAAGCCCTGAGCCATGCTTCTTGTTTTCCTTCTTGCTCAGGTCAGAGGGTATCATGGATCACTTACCCAGGTAGCCAAACACCGACAAGGGCCTTATGACCTCCACTCCAGGGGTGTCCATTGGAACGAGAATCATGCTGTGCTGTTTGTGCCTAGACGGAAGGAAAGCAATGTTAGGAAAAGCTTGCCCAACTAAGTACTGTAGCTCACACCTGTCATCCTAGCTACTCAGGAGGCTGAGAGCTGAGGATCATGGTTCAAAGCCAGCCTGGGCAGGAAAGTCCGTGAGACTCTTGTCTCCAATGAACCACTAGAAAACCAGAAGTGGCGCTGTGGCTCAAGTGGTAGAGCACTTGCCTTGAGCTGAAGAGCTGAGGGATGGTGCCCACAACCCACAAAACAGAACCACGCTTGTAAAGTACAAAGCCAGGCACCATGGCTCAGGCCTGTCACCCTAGCTACTGAGGAGGCTGAGAGCTGAAGACGAGGGTTTGAAGTCAGCCTAGGCAGGAAAGCCCATGAGATGATTGAACCACCAAAAAGCTGGAAGTGGAGCTGTGGCTCAAGTGGTAGGGTGCCAACCTTGAGCGGAAAAAGCTCAGAGACAGCACCCACGCCCCGCGTTCAAGCCCTAGACCGGCACAAAAATAAAATTAAAAATGAAGACACTTGTAAAATACAAATACGTAACATTTCCCCTCAGACATCATAAATGACTCGTGAGCCCAAGTGGTGTGTTTCCCATAAAAACTAAAGTGATAGAGGATGGGAAGGTGGCTCAGTGGTAGAGTGCTTGCCTTACATGCATGAGGCCCTGGGTTCGATTCCTCAGCACCACATAAGCAGAAAAATCTGGAAGTGGTGCTGTGGCTCAAGTGGTAGAGCACTAGCCTTGAGCTGAAGAGCTGAGGGACAGCGCTCAGGCCCCATGACCGGACCCCAAAAAACAAACAAAACAAAAAAACAAAACAAAACAAAAAACCTAAACTGATAGAAAAATGAACTGTAAACACTGAAGTGATTCCTCCATCATACTCATCCTGTTACCTGGAGACGGATGGAGTTTCAGTTCTTCCCAAAACAATGGCGATTTTGCAGTTGGGATTTCCCCCTCCTAAACTCGGGGAGGAAAGGAGCAGAAATAGTTATCAATGAAATTTCTTCCTTGACAGTTCTCCCCTGAAGGTTCTGAGCCTTCCAAGTTTATCTCTGGCGAAAGAAAGAAAGAAAGAGAGAGAGAGAGAGAGAGAGAGAGAAGGAAGGAAGGAAGGAAGGAAGGAAGGAAGGAAGGAAGGAAGGAAGGAAGAAAGGCAGGCAGGCAGGCAGGCAGGCAGGCAGATTAGGAAGAAACAACAACAACTCTGATTTGTTAAAGTAATAATGTGTTGGATGAAGCTGTATGTCAGAGGAAATGGCTGGCGGAGGACCAGAGTGCATTGCATGGACAGAAGCTGTCCTGCCCCAGTGACTGGGAGCTGGGAAGAGGAGGCCGCTGTGATCCCATAGACAACGGGGCATGTCTGATGTCCCCCATGTCTCTTACTTTACTTGCACAATGAGGCTTGGACCCTGCCTTCAAACACTGCTCATCTACGAAGGATGCAGGAAAGGATTTTAATAATAATGATGATGATAATAATAAATTAGCCAGGTGCTGTTGGCTTATGTCCATCATCCTAGCTAGAGACTTGTAGAGGCTGAAATCTGAGGATCGAGGTTCAAGCCCTGGCCCACAAACCTCTGATCTCTACTTAACCAGCAAAAATCCAGAAGTGAGGTATGGCTCAAGTGGCAGAGCGCCAGCCGTAAGCGGACAAAGTGGAGAACGACACTCATACCCACACAGATTTAATTTAAAATGTTTCAAAAATTAAAATGAATGCATTCCAACTGGCCAATCTAGTGGTGGCATGCACTGAGAATGGCTGGTTGGAGGGGGGAGGCAGTGTGTGGCTAGGATAGGGGGAGAGCAGGAAACACGGGGTGCTGCAGGTGGAGACGCGGGAGGGGATGGGGCGTGGGGCTCTGGAGGGTTTTCTTGTTGGTCCTCGTTTCTAATTGGACACCAATAATAAGGGATGGCTAGCCAGCTGGCTTGTGAACACATGTCTACACCCCAATGAGGGGATGCACCCTGATTTCTCTGAAGTCATAATCTGGGCCCAATTCTAGAGGAGATTTTTATCTAAGTCCAGAAAGGGTGAGGCCCTTTCCCAACTGGAACGTGACATCTGAAAAGAAAAAGCTGCCCGTTGGACGGGGCTGCTGATCATCAGACACCAAATATGCGAAGCATGATCGATGGCCTCTCCCATTCCCTCCCCATCCCCCGCACCCTCCAAAAAACAGGTAAATTACTGCTGTGTTACATATGAGATAAAGATGGGAATTATCTTCTCCACCCAGTCTGGGTATTTACAATATCATCTGATCACTAGATAAAGGGGACCAGGAAGCAGTTAAGATTGGAAAGAGGAAATGTTTCCCTATTCCTTTAAATGTCATGTTTTTTTTAAACAAAATATATTTCTGTTTAACCTTGACCTTTCAGAGAAAGCCTCACAAATGTATCATCTCCCAGCTGCGAGCAGAAAGAACCTGGCAGACATAGCAGCCAAGCAGCCCATTTACTAAAAGTGTTTTTTGCTTTCTTCTTTCTTTTTTGTGGCATTTTTAAGGAACAGGATACAAATGGTCAGCAATGAGATAGAGGAGAGGAAACAGGAGCCGCCCGGAGAACATTTCCACGTTATCGGCTGTGTAATGGAGCTCCGTGAATGGAAACAGATGGAATGGATCAAGTTTTTCTGTTTTTAAGCCAGATTCTGTGGTATCCTGAGACAGTTCCGAGCACCAGGATTGAGTCAGGAGGAAAAAAATGCCATCTTCCTGAATATTTGCACGGTATTTGTAAGTTCTGGGGCTCTTAAAACCACATAGTTAGTAAACAAAATTATTTTTCTAAGGGGTAGGGAGGAAATCATGACCATTGCATGTAGACACATAACAGTCGGTGGCTCATGCCTGTCATCCTAGCTACAGGAGGCTGAGATCTGAGATTGTGGTTCAAAGCCAGCCTGGGCAGGGAAGTCCGTGAGACTCTTCACCCCAATTAAGTACCAAAAAAGCCAGAAGTGAAGCTGTGGCTAGAGTGGCAGGGCACCAGCCTTGAGGAAAAAAAAAAAAAGCTCAGGGATAGCATCCAAGCCCTGAGTTCAGATCCCAGGACCAGCACCAAAAAGAAAAAAAATTAAAAATCACCGAATGTGACTCAGCTGAGCATCCACAAAGTCTTGCTGGTGTTTCCCCTACCAACATTGAACTCCGTGTGAAATGCTCAGCTTTCACTTCGCTTCTGTTCTAACTGTCACAGTTCAAAGTGCAATACGATAGCGTTATGAGGTGGGTCTTCTTTCACAACCAAATTCCCACTGGCAAACTTTGTCTGCAGGAAAAATGGACGGAACTGGGGACCTCCACATTAAATTCAACAACTGAGCAAGGCAGACGTCCCATGTTCGCTCTCCTAGGGGGGAATCTAGTTCAAAGCAAAGAGACATAATGATCAGGTTTTAAGGTAGGGGGACAGGTTTTTTTTGGGGGGGTGAAATCAGTTCATACATGAAAGAAAAGGGTAAAAGGGGTAAATCTGAACAACAACAAAAAAAAGTGATAAGAAAGAGTAACGGAACTGGCGGTTCAAAGCTAGCCTGCGCAGGAAAGTCCATGAGACTCTGATCTCCAAGGACTAACCACCAGAAAACCACAAGTGGTGCCATAGCTCAAAGTGGTAGAGCCTTGAGCAAGAGTTCAGGGGCAGCACCCAGGCCATGAGTTCAAGTCCTACAACTAACCGCCCCCCTGAAAAAACAGAGTAATGGGGTGAGTTTGCTCAAAACACATTAAATCTATGTACGGAATTACCACAATGAAATCCTCTGTACAATGAATGAATACTAATAAAAAAGAGGGAGAGGTTTACCACAATGAAATCCTCTGTACAATGAATGAATACTAATAAAAAAGAGGGAAGAGGTTTTCTGGTTGCTGTTGTTGTTTTTTTTTAAAAATCACACTGACCCCTAGTTAAGGAAGAAATATCCTAGGGATCTACCTTCGAAAAGTAGACATTTAGACACTAGTCTAAATGACTAGTGTCAGTAGTACAAGGCTGCTGAAGTATATACAAACCCTGGCGGGGTCCCAAGATATTATCTTAAGCTGGGTGCTGGTCAGGCCTTTTCTTAGTGCTTCCTTGCACATGGAGAACACAAGTTCCTGTTCTGATGTTTGAAGTGGTGGCCACATTGCAGGAAGCCTCTTATTTATGTATGCTATGTTGGTTGTAGGATTTGAACTCAGGGCCTGAGTGCTATCCCTGAAGCTCTTTCGATCAAGGTGAGTGGCTCTACCAGTTTGAGTCACAGTGCCACTTCCTGTTTCTGCGTGGTTCATTGGAGATAAGGGTCTCTCGCAGGGACTTGTCTGCCCAGGCTGGCTTTGAACCCTAATCTTTAGATCTCAGCCTCCTAAGCAGCTAGGATGACAAGCGTGAGCCACTGGTGTTCGGTGGGAGCCTCTTTTCTTTGTGCATGGACCAGAAGGCTCAGTCCACTCTGCCGTAGAAGAGAACGGCACGCATGGCATGTGTCTAAAATCACTTGTTCAGGTGGGCGTGGAGGCCAGCCTTGCATGAGAAAGGCAGTTGGGCTGCTGCCATGCAAATGTGAGGAGAGCAGATGCACACAGAGGGCCAGGGCTGGCTGTCTCTTACCCCAGCAGCCGCCCAGACAGAGAGGTTTTGGAGGCTTGTGTCCTGTCACGCCAGGAAGGAGGGGACATGAAGAGGAGGGCTTCCGTCCCCTGGCAAAAACCTGCCAAGCTCTGCAGTTCGGGAGATGGAAATCCTCTGTGCCCATTTGGATCCCAGGATGCTTGAAGAGTTTGGATTGATGCCCGGGACTGCTCTTCTATGAGACCAAAGATCAAGCGCTCAAGTGGTTAAATTTCAGGAAAGCTCTCTTGGATCCCAGATAAAGGCGGGGTGTTAAAAACAAAACTAGTAGGAGAGAGAGAGAGAGACAGAGAGAGAGAGACAGAGAGGGGGAGAGACAGAGAAAGAGGGGGAGACAGAGACAGAAAGACAGAAAGAGAGAGAGACAGAGAGAGCGAAGTCTTTTCATTTTTTTTCCATCTGCACTCCAGCCTGCGGCTCTAGGATAAATTAAACAGGTGGGTTCCTTCTTTTTATTTTTTGTTTCTCATTCTGACTGCAATGTGATTTTGTATTTCTACCTCTACACAGAGAGGCTTGAGGAGTGAAAGTTTTATAGCTGTCTAAAAATGGTGGTGTCAAACAGAAGTATACCTTAAACTTGAAGTGAAAACGTGAACGTAGCAACAAGAAAATAATTTTCTGTACTACTGCTTATTATACTATGGCTTATCTGCAGCGCTTTGTCAAGTTAAAAATAAGTTTTGGTGTGCCATTTTTCCCCTGTTTTCTTTCAGAAGTACTATTGTTTCTCCTTATGATAATTACAGAAAGCATTCAACTGTCTTTTGTCTATATTTTCCAGGAAGGATAGTTTCTGCAAAATAATTTCTCTTCCTATTTATAATTACTCATACTGTTAGTAAGGTGAATGGTTACAATTTTACAATGCCTTCCCTTAGTATTATGTATTATCAGGCTCTGGATTTCTATGGTGACAGACAGAGAACTAAGTTCATAGTGTATAAATAAGTAATAGATTAAAAAAGGAAGACTGTAATCGTCTCCCAGATTGGAAATTTTCAAATGACCTTAATGATAAGAAAATAGTCATTCTGCAGTAAGAGAGGTGACTGGGGGGGGGGGGGGGGAGGGAAGGGTAGGAAGTGGTGGGGGAGTTTGACCAAAGTATGTGCATGTGGTGGAAATATCACATTGCAACTCCTTTGTACAATAGACATGAGCAAATAACAATAAACTTAAACTTCTGGATTGTGGGTTTTGCCTAATAAAAGCTTGTACTTTGCTCTTCTCATGCACCCAGAGCGATTTAGTAGGATTAAGTCTCTTGAAAGTAAGTGAGCAGGCTTTTTTTGTTTGTTTTTTCGTTATTGTTGTTTTGGTTGGTCATAGGCCTGAACTCTGGGCCTGGGCGCTGTCCCTCTGCTCTTCAGCTCAAGGCTAGCGCTCTACCACTAAGCCACCAGCCAAGCAGGTGGTTTTGAAGAGAGTTTTTTTCAGAATTGATTCTGCTTAAGGCTGTCTTCCTCCTGTGGGGTTCTGTGACTTCCACATGGCTCAGCCACGTAACCTGGAGACGGACGCTTCCTGCCCCCCATTCTAGAACAGCAGCAGCTTTGCACCTGCTGGCAACACTCAGTGGCTTCAGGTGTGTTTTCTGAGCAGTTTGTGAATCTGTGGCAACAGTCACCAATGAAACAGCTTCTGCCCTGGGGGACGGTGTTGGTCCGAAAAACACATCGTTTTCTCCGTGGGAAGGGGTGGGGATCGGTTCTCTGGCGGGTCTGTGTTGGGTTGGAAAGGTTCTTTGGAGAGGGGACACGCAGGTTCATTAAGAAGGGGCACTCCACAGGAAAAAGGGTGCAGATGCTCCTCATGCTGCTGCCACCTGCTGGCGGGTTGGGGTAGGGCCGCCTAGGATGAGGGTCCAAAGCCGGAGGGGTGCTAGAGCCATGGGGTGCACCAAGTTACCACCCAGGGAGCCTGGAGTGTCCTGCTACGGAGCTTTTCGTTTTTTGTACTTTTTTGGTTGTTGGTGGTTGTGAGGCTTGAACTCTGGGCCTGGGCGCTGTCCCTCAGCTCTTCAGCTCAAGGCAAGCGCTCTACCACTTGAGTCACAGCGCCACTTCTGGTTTTCTGAGTGGTTCATTGGAGTCTCACGCACTTTCCTGCCCAGGCTGGCTCTGAACCTCGATCCTCAGGTCTCAGCCTCCTGGGCAGCTAGGATGACAGGCGTGTGCCATGGGCACCTAGTTCTAAGGGGCTTTCAAAAATTTTTTAAATTAAATGGGGCTGGGAAGGTGGCTCAGTGGTAGAGTGCTTGCCTCATATGCATGAGGCCCTGGGTTCAACTCCTCAGTACCATATACATAGAAAAAGCCAGCAGTGGCTCTGTGGCTCAGGTGGTAGAGCACTCGCCTTGAGCTGAAGAGCTAAGGGACAGCACCCAGGCCTAGAGTTCAGGCCCCACGACCGACAAAACAAAACAAAATTTAAATTGACTTATTAATTGGAGTATCTTTGGAGGGGTTTCCATTTGAGGCTTGAGTTTGGTCCTGGGGAAAGTGAACCTCTGAAGACACATGCTGAGGGTCTAATCTCAGGCCTACTGCCCAATATGGCTCCCGTGAGCACCGATCGGAGCTCACAGAGGTGGGTGCAGGAGTGGAGTCTCTGGGGAAATGGCGGGGGGGTAGAGAGGGGACGTCGCTGAGCCAAAAGACTGTTCCGCAGTATGTGTGACTCAAGTGTCCTGGCTTCTTTCCGCCCTCTAGATGGGAGCCCAGGGTCTGGATGGAAACCAGTCGGCCGACGATTATTACTACGAGGATGGGGAGCTGAACGGCACCCATGACTACAGCCTGTACGAGGCGATCTGTGTGAAGGAGGAGGTCCGGCGCTTCGCCAGTGTCTTCCTTCCGGCCTTCTTCGCCGTGGCCTTCGTGGTGGGGCTGGCTGGCAACTCGGTCGTGGTGGCCGTGTACGCCTTCTGCAAGAAGCGAAGGACCAAGACGGACGTGTTCCTCCTGCACCTGGCCGTGGCCGATCTGCTGCTCCTGGGCACGCTGCCCTTCTGGGCAGTGAACGCGGTGCACGGGTGGGTGCTGGGGGAGGCGGCCTGCCGGGTCACATCGGCCCTGTACACGCTCAACTTCGTGTCGGGCATGCACTTCCTGGCGTGCATCAGCGTGGACAGGTACCGGGCGGTGAGCAGGGGTCCCCGCCAGCCGGGGGCAGCAGGGCGGCCGTGCTGGCTTGTGTGCTGCGGCGTGTGGACAGCCGCGCTCTTGCTTAGTCTCCCCAAGCTGGTGTTTTATACAGTCAACGCTGGGGGCAGGTGCGTTCCCTCCTTCCCCTACCTGCTGGGGGCGCCGGTGAGGGCAGCCATCCAGATGCTGGAGGTCTGCGTGGGGTTTGTGGTGCCCTTCCTGGTGATGGGGGTGTGCTACTGGCTCACGGCGCGGGCGCTCATCAGGATGCCCGATGGGAAGAGGTCTGGGCCGCTGCGGGTGCTGCTGGCTGTGGTGCTGGTTTTCGTCGCCACCCAGCTGCCTTACAATGTCGTCAAGCTCTGCCAGGCTATGGGCAGCATCTACTCGCTGGTCACCACCTGCGAGGCCAGTAAGCGCCTGGACGTGGCCAGGCAGGTCACGGAGAGCATCGCGCTGGCCCACAGCTGCCTCAACCCTCTCCTCTACACCTTTCTGGGCGCCTCCTTTAAGACCCATGTGATGAAGGTGGCCAAGAGATACGGGCCGTGGCGGAGGCGCAGACAGGCCGTGGAGGAGATCGCCTTTGACTCGGATGCGGCCACGGAGCCCACCAGCTCCTTTAGCATTTAAAAGGCCAAAGTGTGCTGCTGCCTTTCCTTCCGGTCATGTGCATGACATGCCTTCCTCAGGCCAAAACAAACAAACAAACAACAAAAACCCATCTGTGTGGCTCTGAAACTCTGGTTTCAAGTTGATATCAAAGAGGGTGACTTGGGGTGCAGACAGAAGCTGAGAAGACCGGGCAATGTCAAAATGTGAAAGTTAACATCATAGGGAAATACTAGCTGCAGGCATAAAGGGAAGCGTTAGGTGAAAAGAAGACCTTGGAGGAGATGAGAGTCGTTTTATAGCTTGATGACAGTAGTGGTTACACAAATCCATGCCTTACACGATGATGTGGAAAACTCCATATGCTGGGATCAGTTCCACCTTCCTGGGCTTGCTACGATACTCTAATTATGTGAGAACAACCCACAGGCTTCTCTATGGGGGGGGGAGGGGGGGAAGAAGGGGGGAGTGGGGGGAAGGGACCCTGAGTCACTCTTTACCTTGTAACTGCCTTGAGAATTTGTAATAATTGCAAAATAAAACTTATTTTTTAATAAAAACCCACCAGGTTGTAAGTTAGGCAATCTAAATCTGAGTAACACAGAGACTTCTGTTGAGAGGCATTTTATAATTAATCACCTAAGTGTTAATATAAGGACAAGTTCCCTGCATAATTGGAATAGTTGAACATCTGGGCGGCAAAACTGGATTCTCTGTGTTTCTTAATTTGTCAAGGATTTCGTAAGATCGCAGAAAGGAAAACAATGAACCAGCCTCTCCTACTGCACCCCTCAAAAAAAGAGAATAAAAGAGCGCTCAGAAGCCTCTCTGGCTCTTACATACATTCTTGGTCAGTTTCCAAACACAAAATTGGCTTCCAGGCTGTCAATGTTCTTTACATAATAACTAATTTCCTGACACTTGTTGGCTTTATCATGTGTATTCTGGAAGCAATCCTCAGATTATCATAGTTATCTAGGCTCCAATTTTTTTGGTCTGTGTGTATGTGAGTACATGCACATGTGCGCATGCACACATGTACACACACACATACACACCCAGTTCTGGGGCGTGAGCTCAGGGTCTGGGCACTGTCTCTGAGCTTTTCCTGCTCAAGACTAGCACTCTACCACTTGAGCCACAGTTCTCCTTCTGGCTTCTTGGTGGTGGACTGGACAGAAAAGAGTCTCAAGGAGACTGCCCGGGTTGGCTTTGAACCTTGATTCTCAGATTTCAGCCTCCTGAGTAGACAGGATTACAGGTGTGAGCCAGCAGTGCTGGGCTGACATGTATACTTTTAAGCAATAGAAACAGGGGGCATAACAAATTATATTATTATTAGTACCCTCATCACAATCAGTGCTTGGGATTGAATCCATGGCCTGCTGTACGTGCTCAGCATGCACTCAGACCTTATCCTAAGTTATTTTTTTAGAAACCTGATAGCTTACTTTTTTGTGTGTGTGCTGGTACAGGGCAAAGGCTTCTCATTTGGCTTTTATGCTCAAGGCTGGCACTATACCACCTGAGCCCAGCTTCTTGTTTGTTAACTAAATGTAAGAGTCTCTCAGCTTTGTCTGCCTGAGCTGGCTTCAACCTGTGAAGTTCAGATCTCAGCTTCTGTGTAGCTTTCTTTTGAAAAATACGCTTTCCTCTTATCAACTATCTGCCGACTTGAAAAGGCGGAATTTGGAGGGTTCTGATCATCATGACCACGGTCATCTACAAGCCTCATCTACAAGCCCCGTGGCCCGGTGTTATACGGCACGCAGGGCAGCTCTGCTGTGGTTGGGGGGGGGGGACACTCACCGCTGCTCCACCACTTCCTGCCGTTCACCACATAGCTGTCCCCATCGCGCCAGATGCTGCATTTGATATTTGTGGCGTCACTCGAAGCCACGTCAGGCTCTAAGAAGGAACGAAGGCTAGACTTAACAGGCCAGAAGATTCCCACTGGCTCACTGCCCATGGACAGCGGTTTCAGCAAAGCCAGTTACCAGTCAGCAAGTCTTATTGGCTGCTGCAATTTCTGCAGACACCAGAATGTCACGTGGTGTCCTGGAAGGGGGGGGGGCAAGTTTATTCTGCACATTTAAGAATCCAACATCGGAGGCCGGGTGCTGGTGGCTCATGCCTGCCTGGTTACTCAGGAGGCTGAGATCTGAGGATCGCAGTTCAAAGCCAGCCCGGGCAGTAAAGTCCGTGAGACTCTTATCTCCAATGAACCATCAGAAAACTGGTACCACCAGTGGTGATCATTAAAAGTTTCCCCTCAGTATCTAGGATGAGCTGGGAAGGTGGCTCAGTGGTAGAGTGCTCGCCTAGCATGCATAAAGCCCTGGATTCAATTCCTCAGTACCACATACACAGAAAAAGCCAGAAGTGGCGCTGTGGCTCAAGTGGTAGAGAGCTCGCCTTGAGCTGAAGAGCTGAGGGACAGCGCCCAGGCCCAGAGTTCAAGCCCCACAGCCGACAAAACAAAAAACAAAAAGCTGGAATCCAACATTGACCATTAGGATCATGAGCAAAGGTGACTGATACACAGTCACATCCCGCACAGCTTCCACTGACCGCAGAGGGGCCCCAGGAAGAACTTACCCGTCATGCAGAAGGCAGAGGTGATGCTCCCCTGAAGAAGAGGTTCCAGCCAGCGCCGCTTCTGCTCCTCACTTCCATACAAGTGCAATACCTCCATGTTCCCCGTGTCTGCACAGCAGAAGCAAAAACACTTGCTGCCGGGCACTAGTGGCTCATACCTGTCATCCTAGCTACTCAGGAAGCTGAGATCGGAGGATCATGGTTTGAAGCCAGCCTGGGCAGGAAAGTCCCTATGAGATCTTATCTCCAATGAACCACCAGAAAACCGGAAGTAGCACTGTGGCTCAAGTGGTAGAGCACTTGCCTTGAGCTGAAGAGCTGAGGGACAGAGCCCAGCCCCCCCCCCCACTCTTGCTTTCTATTTCAAACTTGGTTCAACATCCAGAATCTTGTATGGGTGATATGGATGTGCACCCTTTAAAAAAAAAATCGGTTGTGGGGCCTGGGTGCTGTCCCTGAGCTTCTTCTGCTCAAGGCTAGGGCTCTATCACTTGAACCACAGCACTACTTCTGGCTTTTTCTATGTATGTGGTACTGAGGAATTGAACCCAGGGCTTTATGCATGCTAGGTGAGCACTCTACCACTGAGCTACCTTCCCAGCTCACCCTAGATACTGAGGGGAAACTTTTAATGATCACCACTGGTGATGACTTTAAGATGACTTTAAGAACAGAGAGGGAAGGCCTGGGAGAGTGGCTCAGTGGTAGAGTGCTTGCCTCACAGGCATGAGGCCCTGGGTTTAATTCCTCGGTACCACATAAACAGAAAAAGCTGGAAGTGGAGCTGTGGCTCAAGTAGTAGAGTGCTAACCTTGAGCTTAAGAACATCGCCCAGGCCCAGAGTTCAAGCCCCATGACCGACAAAAAAAAAAAAAGAACAGAGAGGGAAATGCCTATGAAGTCAGGAGTTAAGTATGATTTCAGTCTTCCCAGAGGAGTCTGCACTGTGTCTGGAAACTCCTTACACAACTAGCGTTCCACAAAGCTGCCTAAGTTGCCAGGAGACTAATGTTTCTTTTTCAAGTGAGGGAGAAAAGAAGCCTTCAGTTACCATCAATGAAGTTCATTGTTTGCTTTCTTTGCTTGCTTCAAAGTCGGTGTTACTTGTTATAGATCCAATAATATAAATACTGAATAAAACATTTTCCAATGGTTGGGAAGGTGGCTCCGTGGTAGAGTGCTCGCCTAGCATACATGAAGCCCTCGGTCTGATTCTTCAGTACCACATACACAGAAAAAGCTGGAAATGGAGCTGTGGCTCAAAGTAGTAGCCTTAAGTAAAAATAAGTAGTAGCTTTAAGCAAAAAGAAGCTCAGGGGACAAGCCCCAAGACTGACCAAAAAAAAAAAAATCCCAAATTATCAGTTTCTTATGAGAAGCTGGAGAAATGATTTCTTATGTGTTGAAAAATAGGCCCAGTTACTTCTATGAAAAGTTTTTCCCTCTATGAAAGTGCTTATGTCAAGTTGGGAGCTGGTGGCTCATGCCTGTAATCATAGCTACTCAGGAGGCTGAGATCTGAGGATCACACTTGGAAGTCAGCCAGGCAGACAAAACCATAAGACCCTTATTCTCCAAGTAACCACCAAAAATCTGGAAGGGGAGCTGTGGCTCGAATGGTGGAGCACCAGCCTTGAGCAAAAACAGCGAAGGGAAGGCAGCCAAAGCCCCGAGTTCAAGCCGTAGTAACTGGCACAAAAGAGAGAGACAAGAGAGAGGCCAAACTCCATCTTGTTTTTGCATTTCAAAGTTACTGAGAAGCAGAACTGTAACAAAATCTATACATCGATGGCTTTGTGCAGAAGCCTGTCACGTAAGAAGACAAAAGAGCCGAGAAAATGCTGTGTAGCATAGTAACCTGGGGCCTGGCAGTTGAAGACGTTGGGGGCGAAGTGGCACTTCCCGGTTTCTTCCGCAATCAGGGCGTAGTCGACTTGGCTGAGCCCACTCACGGCTGGCAGAAACAGGTTCCACAGCCCCTCGGCCTTGGCCATTTCCTGTCAAAGGGAGGGAACGTGCCAGCACCGTCAGAGTTTGCCATGACCCTAAAGCAACCGAATGATACAAGACACCTTTTTTTTTTTTTTTTTGTCGGTCATGGGGCCTGGAAAAACACTTAATCCTACTGAAAGACTTTAAAAGATTTAATAATGTCATTGCGATGTTTATTTATTTTTTTTTTGTCGGTCATGGGGCCTGGACGCTGTCCCTCAGCTCTTCAGCTCAAGGTGAGCGCTCTACCACTTGAGCCACAGTGTCACCTCCAGGCCCCACGACCGGACACTCCCCCCCCCCCAAAAAAAAAGTTATTACTGATACTTTTTTTTTTTTTGTCATGGGGCTTGAACTCTGTGCCTGGGTGCTGTCCCTCAGCTCTTCAGCTTAAGGTAAGTGCTCTTCCACTTGAGCCACAACGCCACTTCTGGTTTTCTGGTGGTTTACTGGAGAGAAGAGTCTCATGGACTTTTCCTGACCAAGCTGGCTTTGAAGCACGATCCTTAGATCTCAGCCTCCTGAGTAGCTAGGATGACAGGCGTGAGCCACCAGCACCCAACTACTGGTACATTTACATATCGAAAGCAACAAAACCTAAGGTCACCAGAAACGCCTGCATTGTTTCCAATGATCGCTTTTTTTTCCCCCTTCTTACCTTGAGTTTATCCATCACAGAAGGCTGTCTCCATATGTCTGCTGAATTTTCATTTTGCACATAGTACTCATGGACCTCCTTAAAGCAACAAAAAGGGGGAAAAGTGAGCTTGATTTAACACAGAGAAAACTACATTGGAAACTGATTAATATGTAAAATATACATTTTTAAGTGAAGTGACTTTTCTCAGCTGCTAATCAGTAGTATCCCAGTGTGTGCCTGTGTGGTTAGGTGAAAAATTCAAAACAATTGAAATGTGTATTTAGTATTGTACAGCTGTGCTGGAAGGGACCTGGTAAGTTCCTCCAGGCCATGAACAACTATTTGGCAAAAAGTCAGGAAGGAGAGGAGGATCCATGCATTCCTGGACACCAGGCTGAACTGCTCCTGTCGTTTCTGTCAGGAAGTCAGCTGAATTGGAAGATTTCCTGTTTAGGGTCGTTTGTTATTTCCACCTCTCATGGTGCCATAAAAACAGTCGATGCTATTGTGTTCGGTAATAGATACAATGTGTAGCACATTTAGGATGTCCTGGTCTCTGGTTACCTCTGGGGGAGAGACTACAGTGCTAAGCAAGTATGCCAGTGGTGATGCAATTGTTTGAAAACGTGGTTTAATGTTTTGTGCCCCTAAAATGTAGCTGTGGTAGAGTAGGACTCAAAATTCAATAACATACCTTCCTACAGAAAGAACCCTTAAAATGGGAAACATAATTTGTTACACCAGGTGTGGTGGTGTGTACCTCTAGTCCCAGCTGCCAGGAGGCTGAGGCTAGATGAATGATTTAGATAAGGGTTCTAGCCTGGTGGGGGGGGGGGACGGGGGAGGGGCTCACGCCTGTCATCCTAGCTATTTAGGAGGCTGAGATCTGAGGATTGCGGTTCAAAGCCAGCCCAGGCAGAAAAGTCGATGAGACTCTTATCTCCAATAAACTACCAGAAAACCGGAAGTGGCGCTGTGGCTCAAGTGGTACAGTGCTTGCCTTGAGCTGAAGAGCTGAGGGACAGAGCCCAGGCCCAGAGTTCAAGCCCCATGACCGACCAAAAAAAAAAAAAAATAGAAAGAAAATGGCAAGTGCCACTGTGGCTCAAGTGGTAGAGCGCTTGCCTTGAGTGGAAGAGTGCAGGGACAGCACCCAAGCCCCAAATTCAAGCCCCACAACTGACAAAAAAAAAAAAAGAAGATAAGGGTTCTTGGCCAGCCTGGGAAACACAGCAAGAACCTGGCTCAAAAGAAAGTTATAATATGGATTTATATACTACGATATATATTGTACGACACATTAATAGATGTATATAATATATAACAATATATCTATATATAATATCCATTTATATAACTTGTATATTTATATAAATATAACACATATATTTATAGGTATAATTTATAACAAATTTATGTAAATTGATGAAAATCAAACGAGAAGATGGCTAGATAGAACTATACTTGGCATGACTGTCCAAGAGAAGAGACAGGACAGCAGAGGAGATATTCCAGGTAGCGATAGAGAGGAAGACGGCGCCACTGGAGAAATGGGGAGAGCCCTGAACAGCACAGGGAGTCAGGGACAGCAGAAATTACATCTGGTGCCTGGCTTCTCATACACCACCTTCAACATGCTGCCTCTTTCTTCACTGAGATATGACTTGGGAGAGTGTTGGTTTAGAATCCTATACTGGAGCTTCCAAGAAAGCATGTTCACTTCCAACTTAAGTCGTCCAAAAGAAATCAACACTTCTCTCCCTACCCCGGTCCATTCCTATTCAGAGGAGAGGAGGTGCCATGTTATGTTTGTGTTAAAAGTGTACTCTGGAGGCGGGCACCGGTGGCTTGAGCCTGTCATCCTAGCTACTCAGGAGGCTGAGATCTGAGGCTTGTGGTTCAAAGCCAGCCTGGACCAGGAAAGTCTATAAGAGTCTTATTTCCAATTAGTCACCCCCCCCCAAAAAAAAAAAACAGAAGTAGAGCTGAAGTTCAAAGTGGCAGAGCACTAATCTTGAGCACAAAAGCTTGGGGACAGTGCCCAGGTGCTGAGTTCAAGGTTACAACCAACTAAAAAAAAAAAATACAAAAGAAAAGGAGTGTACCCTGCATCCTATGTTATGTTCCTTGTTCCTGTATGACATGCTGGTTTTAGGACTTCCTATAGATTTTAAATAGGGAGAACAGGTTTGAAACATTTTCACAGACGACGGGTTATGTTCTGCCTCATGCTTTTCTAGGAGTTTCCACAAGTCATTAGGATAGCTCTGTGAAAAGGGGACTGGAGAGAGATGGTGGGGACAAGAGAGAATAATGGGAAGGTTAATAGGATCACAGTGCAGTGAGTGTGTGTGTTTGTTTGTGTGTGTGTGTGTGTGACTCCATGAAGCTTACATTCTTTTGCTTATAGGGAATTTACAATTATGTAAAAGTATCAAGAAACTCAGATCAAGACTCTTCATAGCTGACAACGTATGAGATCAAGACTCAGTAGCTGGCATCGTGTGACGTTAGGATGTTGGTGTACTATGCTGGGAATACAGATCACTGGTAGAGCACTGCTTCACACGCGTGAAGCCCTGGGTTCCATCCCCAGTGCTGGAAACAAAGCCGTGTCGGTGTGAGACCCAGCGAGTCTGCGTGAGGACTGTGTGTGGAGAGTAGCCCTGTGGCTCTGCCTCCCGCAGCTCACGGTGCTCTAGCGCACGAGGCCAGGGTGTATACGATACCTTTTCGGCAGGGAGGATGTGGCGCTGCATAAAGTGTTTCACTTTCCTGAGGACTTCCTGGCCTTTCATAGTCTGCATGAACAACTGTCTGGTATTATCCACTGGGGGCAGCTCGGTATTAAAAGATCTTTGGCCAAATGAAGAAGAAAATGAACAAACAGAGGTTACAAAGACGTCCAAAATCGCTACTAGACCTAGCTTCTCTAGGAAATGTGAAGGACATCCAGCTAAGCCAAAGTATTGTGCAGAAGGGGCTGAGGCTCGGGCTGACTTTCTCAGGGACAGGACCACGCATGCACCAAGTGGGCGGTGGGGGTGTGGCCGACCAAGCATAGGGTGTGCCTCAAAGAATGCTCCCCACAGGGCTGGAAAGGTGGCTCAGTGGTTGAGTGCTTGCCTTGTATGCATGAGGCCCTGGGTTCGATTCCTTAGCACCACATAAGCAGGAAAAGCCAGAAGTGGCTCAAGCTCGCCTTGAGCTGAAGAGCTGAGGGACAGCGCCCAGGCCCAGAGTTCAAGACCCAGGACTGACAAAAAACAAAATAAAACAGAGTGCTCCCCTGACAGAGACCGGAGTGCCAATGCCACTCAGCAAATGTCCACACAAACTTTCATGCAGTTTCGCTGCTGTGAGAGAAAGCCATATTTCTAATAAGAAACCCACTTACATCATATGTACTTTTACATAGGTATATGTGCCTTCAATATTAGAAGGCAACACGAGAGTGCTATCTGTATTTAAACAGCTATTACATTCAAGCTGGCAAAAATATTTTTGATCATAAATATGGGAATTCAAAAAGTATTTTGGACCCAGGTGCCAGTGGCTCACGCCTGTCATCCTAGGTACTCAGAAGGCTGAGATCTGAGGATCGTGGTTTGAAGCCAGCCTGGGCAGGAAAGTCCTGTGAGACTCTTTATCTCCAATTAACTTAAAAACCTTGATATGGCCCTGTAACTCAAAGTGGTAGAGTACTAAGTCTTGAACAAAAGAACTTAGGGACAGTGCCCACAGCCTGAATTCAAGCCCCATGACCAGCAACAACAACAAAAAGTATTTTAGGTTAACTTACGTTTAGAACTATAACATATTTCTTTATTTAAAAAAAATGTTGTGGCCAGGCAGCAGTGGCTTTTGCCTGTAATCCTAGCTACTCAGGAGGTTGAGATCTGAGGGCAACAGTTCAAAGCCAGCCCAGTGCAGATAAGGAGGTCCATGAGACTTTTTTGTTATTGTTGGTTGTGGGGCTTGAACTCTGGGCCTGGGCACTGTTCCTCAGCTCTTCAGCTCAAGGAAGCCTTCTACCACTTGAGCCACAGTGCCACTTCTGGTTTTCTGGTGGTTCACTGAAGAGTCTCATGAACTTTCCTGCCCTTGCTGACTTTGAACCGTGATCCTCAGATTTCAGCCTCCTGTGAACTAGGATGACAGGTGTGAGCCACCGGCACCTGGCTTCCATGAGGCTCTTATCTCCAACTAACCAACAGAAAGCTGAAAGTGGATGTGTGGCTCAAGTGGTTAAGTGCCAACCTTAAATGAATAAAGCCAAGGGATAGCATACAGGTCCTGAGTTCAAGCCTTAGTACCAGCATAAGAAAACAACAACAACAAAATTGCTATGGTTAGTAAGAGAAATCCTGACATTAAAAACAAAAAAACGGGCTGGGAAGGTGGCTCAGTGGTAGAGCGCATGCATGAGGCCCTGGGTTCAATTCCTCAGCACCACATAAGCAGAAAAAACCAGAAGTGGCGCTGTGGCTAAAGTATTAGAGCACTAGCTTTGAGCTGAAGAGCCCAGGGACAGCGCCCAGGCCCAGAGTTCAGACTCCATGACCAGCAAAACAAAACAAAAAAAACAAAACAAAAAACACTTCCTATTCCATTACAGTTTAGGGCTCCCATTTACGTAACGATGATTTGTGAACTGTGTAAACGAAGACTGCCAAGGCTTTGTGGAACACGCTTCGACAGCTCTCATTTGAGTTATGCAAAGAATCTATTTTCCTCACCTTCTTGCGAGTTGTAATCCAGTTTCTGCCAGTGGTTGCACAGTATTGGCAACCAGAAAGCTATCCTCAGATGAATTATTTCCCATAAGGTATCTGCTGTACACTCCCTATGAGCAAATAAGCATAGAACAATTAAAATTCACCAGCAAATGTCCTTCAACTGTCTTTTCCTTCTAATTTCTAATCTTGATGAAGCATCTCAATTTTTTTTCTTCTAGTCCTGGGGCTTGAACTCAGGGCCTGGGCACTGTCCTTGAGCTTTTTTAACTCAAGGTTAGCACTCTATCACATGAGCCACAGCGCCACTTCTGCCTTTTTCTGTGTAGGTGGTACTGAGGAATGGAACTCAGGGCTTCATGCATGCTAGGTGAGCACTCGACCACTGAGCCACCTTCTCAGTCCCAAGCATCTCAAATTTTTAAACCCCTTAAGACTCAAAGCATCTGGAATCTGGATTAATGTAATGATGATTTCCAATTAACTACCAAAAATAGCTGGGAAGTGGAGCTGAGGCTCAAGTGGTAAGTGCCAGCCTTGAGCAAAGGAAGCTCAGGGACAGCACCCGGGCCCCGAGTTCAAGCCCCACAGGACTGACACCAAAAAAGTAAATAAACGCCGGGCGCTGGTGGCTCACGCCTGTAATCCTAGCTACTCAGGAGGCTGAGATCTGAGGATCACGGTTCAAAGCCAGCCCAGGCAGGAAAGACCGTGAGACTCCTAACTCCAATAAACCACCAGAAAACCGGAAGTGGCTCTGTAGCTCAAGTGGTAGAGTGCTTGCCTTGAGCTGAAGAGCTGAGGGACAGCGCCCAGGCCCAGAGTTCAAGCCCCACGACTGACAAAAAAAAAAAAAAAATCAAAAAAGTAAATAAAATAAAATGTTCTTGAGAAAAACCTCATAAACTTGGCTCCGTTTCTTCTCAAAATTAGACACACACACACACACACACACACACACCCCTTGGAGATTAGAAAATACTGTCAACAGAACATGAGGAACTAACGGTGAAACAACATGTTTCAAATGCTTACTTACCTGTGATATTCCAGCGAATTTAAAGTAGGAGAGGGCCAGGAAGAAGTTCCAGTTGGGAAGATGAGAAGGAATCCCTCTGCAGTGGCAGTACACGGAGATTAGCTCCTCCATTGATGGCAACCCTATACACGCAGCACATAACAGGAAGGTCATCTGGCTTGTCAAAGACAATGTACAAATATCACACGATAGCATGTGAACCAGCAGATGGTATGCAAAACCAGACGGAATAACCATTCCTCCACTTGTGTCGACGACCCCACGTGGGATGTGAAACTCAGAAAGATATCACTGCTTGAACTCTGGGCCTGGGCGCCGTCCCTCAGCTCTTCAGCTCAAGGCGAGCGCTCTACCATTTGAGTCACAGCGCCACCTCTGGTTTTCTGGTGTTTTATTGGAAATAAGAGTCTCACGGACTTTCCTGTCCAGGCTGGCTTTGAACCGTGATCCTCAGACCTCAGCCTCCTGAGTAGCTAGGATGACAGGCGTGAGCCACTGGTGCCTGGCTAGAAACATTAAGAGACAAAAAAAAAAAATCCAAAACTGCAAGACGCATATTTAGCGGTGACAATAATGAAGACGAGTTTATTATCATAGCAATGTACATATGACGCTTTTGTACCTGTGCTTGTGTGAAAATGAGAACCTCGGTTTATCATTGGAATTGTCCGTGGCCAAAAGTAGAACATGGATAGATGAGCGACATCGGACAAGGGGTGACCAATGGTGGACAGCTCCCAGTCCAGGACGGCTATCACACGACACTGAAATTCAAAGTGAAGAGGGGGTGGGAAGGGGGCTCCGTGGTACAGTGCTTGTCTGGCATGCATGAAGCCCTGGGTTTGATTCCTCGGTACCACATCAGCAGATTAAAAAGCTGCAAGTGGTATTGTGGCTCAAGTGGCAGAGCGCTAGCCTTAAGCAGAAGCAGCTCAGGGATAGCGCCCAGACCCTGAGTTCAAGCCCCAGAACTGGCAAAACAACAGCAGCAGCAGCAACAACAACAACAAACGGTATCTCTCATTACTGAGACAGACAGCACACAGCCACTCATATTTTCTGGAGCGTACAAAGCTTTGGATGTTTGAGAAGGGATTTATGGCCAGGACTGTGTTAAGATCTCTACTCCTGGGCAGGTGTTGAGTTTGCATGTATAGTTAAGCATTTGCTCTGGTGATGAATTTAAGTATGTGACAAACATGATGGCCAAAACCTGTAACTGCTATATAATATACCATTTGGGGGATGGGAGGGCTTGAACTCAGTGCCTCTTGCTATCAGTTGGCTTTCTTGATTAATCGCAACTGGCACGCTATCACTTGAGCCACACATACCCAGTCTGGTGTTAATTGGAGGTAAGAGTTTCTTGGCGTTTTCTGTCCAGGGTTGGCTTTGAACCGAGATTCAGCCTCCTGAGTAGCAAGAACTACAGGTGTGAGCCACATTATGCAACAACGTGATGAACTAGGGGACAGAACACAAACATGGACAAGCTTCATATTTTGACTAAGAGTTGGAAAATGTCTTTGGAAATAGTGATAGATACCAGCGGCTCACACCTGTAATACTAGCTAACTCAAGAGGTTGAGATCTGAGGACCAAACTGCAAAGCCAGTCCTGGGCTGAAAAATTTGAGTTTCTATCTCCAGTTAACCAGGACAAAGCTTGACAAGTGGTCCAAGTGGTCGGATGCTCACTAAGCAGGTCAAATGAACTGGAGGCTCTTGAGTTCAAGCTGTGGTATTGGTGGGGGTGGGAAGGAGGGAGAGAATGAAAGAGAGTAGAACTGTACATGTAAAAAATTACAGGTCCAGGGTTGGGAAGGTGGCTCAGTGGTAGAGCGCTTGCCTTGCATGCCTGAGCCCCTGGGTTCGATTCCTCAGCACCAAATACGCAAAAAGCCGGAAGTGGCGCTGTGGCTCAAGTGGTAGAGCACTAGCCTTGAGTTGAAGAGCTGAGGGACAGTGCCCAGGCCCAGAGTTCAGTCCCCACGACCGGACCCAAAAAAAAAAAAAATTACAGGTCCTTCTTCAGTGGTCAATCAGCTTCCATTTGTGATTAGAGCCTACATGAAAGCGAACCACATCTACCCAGACAAGAACATCGGCATGGCTCATGTCTAAAAGCCCTGAATGAGCAGACAATTCTGAACCATAGGATGAGAGGAGGAACGTACGGGGGTCTTTCGATACTCTGGGGAGACCACTATGGGGTACCTGTGTCTTGGATCAGGCCTATAATCCAGTGAGATTGATTATAAAACCTGGTCTGTCGTACCTCTTTGTGGTGGAAAACGATATTATCTAATTTAAAATCCCCATGGATCAAACTCTCCTCATTGTCATTGTCTGGCAAGTTCTTCATGAGCCACTCAGACAGCTGTCTCATGGCGGGGATGTCCTGATGAGCGGCAGCCTCGTACTGTTTCGTCCAGGTCGAGACCTGAAAACACAGGTGAGGAAAACGGTAGAGCCGAGGGTGGAAGGAAAGATTCAGGGATTCAGAAGTTAAATTGAATGGCGTCAAGTTTCGTGTGGCTCCTAAGTGCTCAAAATGAAAGCCTGTAAGTGAAACTCACACCTGCCTAAGACTTAAAACCTCTAAGTCTCCCTTCCAGCCAGTTTTGTTTTAGTTATCTAGCTTTTTTTTTTTTTTGCCAGTCCTGGGGCTTGAACTCAGGACCTGGGTGCTGTCCATGAGCTGCTTTCGTTCAAGGCTAGCGCCCTACCACTTGAGCCACAGCACCACTTCCGGCTTTTTTCTATGTATGTGGTCCTGAGGAATTGAACACAGGGCTTCATGCAGGCTAGGTGAGCGCTCTATCACTGAGCCACCTTCCCAGCCCAGTTATCTAGCTTTCTGTTGGGGCAGAGGAGGGCAGGGGGTAGCCTTTGCACTGCGAGATGTGTGTTCTAGTCTTTATCAGTAATGACTATGAGAGAAAAACAAAATGCCTTCAAATACACACATCCAAATAAAGAAGTATTCTGGGTGCTCAAAGGAAACAAATCACTCCTGAAAAGAGAGTAGAAGCAAACACATTCGAGGTTCTCCAACAAGTAGAGTTATTACATTATTTATCTTCTAAGGAACTCTGCATTGCCCAGTGCATCTCTGTACAACTTAGTGCCACAGGGTAAACATGCATTTATCTTCAGAGCCTTACTGACCTAGTCTTAAATTGTGTCTCCGTCACTTCCTCAGGCATCACCCGATTCAGTGTAGGCCAAGGAAGTGAAGTGGGAGTAATGGCACTGATGGCTGGGCACTGGTGGCTCACGCCTGTAATCCTAGCTACTCCACAGGCTGATCTTGGTAAAGCTAAGTCATTGACTGTTAGCACAACTCAGAGAGGAAAAACTGGGCAGGAAATATCTTGGTAAATGAAGTGAAGAAGAATCTGCAACAGATGGCTTTGCCGAACAAAATATACGGCATATATTGCTTAACGTTATAATATATAACATTATGTAATATATAAATATATCGTGTGTGTGCTCGCGCGCGTGATGCACGTATTACCTGCCGCCTGCAGTACCCGGCACCTGTGCCGTACCCTTGCAGCTGCAATGAGCTTATGCTCAAGGAATGGAGCCGGGCCAGTGTCTCGACCATGGCGACATATATGGCTGAGCGTTCCGCTTGACTCAATCCGGGAAGTGAGAAGTCACGAAAGATCCGACCCTATGGGAGGGATTACTCCAGGAAGTCAGTTTGACAGTCCAAACCTGGACTATGTTGAGTATGTTAGAAACACAGGACAAAAGGAAAACATTAGGGTCTATCAAGGTGAACCTAAAGGATAAAACTAAACCCAACTTGAATTTCACCCCCCCACACATACACACGCACGCACAATTAAAAAGCAATTTGGATTTATTCTTAGTGATCTGGTCCTTCTATAATGGGGTAGGTTCCCTGAGCCCAACATCTCTGGGACTTTTGGGATTTTAGTATAGGTAGCTCATTACTGACACCTAGGGGGAAGTGTAAGAAATAAACCAATGTGCCTTAATTATTAAATTGGTTCCTAACCCATTCCAACCTTCCCTTCTCACATACGCTCAAATTAAAAGAAAAATTAAAGCCCTGACAATGTTTTAGGCTATTCAACATTTTAGTTGAATAAACTATACCACGTAAGAATATTACAGTAAAATTTCTTTCCTTTTTTTTTTTTTTTTGGTTGGTAATGGGGTTTGACCTGGACCTGGGCGCTATCCTTGAGCTCTTTTTGCCCAAGGCTAGCCCTCTACCATTTTGAGCCACAGTTCCGCTTCTGATTTTCTGGCTGTTAATTGGAGATAAGAGTCTCACACGCTTTCCTGCCCTGGCTGGCTTTGAACCACAACCCTCAGATCTCCGCCTCCTGAGTAGCTAGGATGACAGATGTGAGCCACCAGAGCTGGCTGTAAAATTTCATCCAATGAAAGCAACATCATGAAAAATCAGAGTAGCAGACAGACAAAGATCACTCACCTGCACGTATTCCATCAGGTAAAATTCAGTCCCGATGATGGACACATCACTGCAGTATAGCAATGGCCGGGGAACGGGAAATCCCGCAGAAAACAAAGCTTGCTGGACTCTAAATTCTCTATCAATCTGCATACGATGAGGAGAAATTAAAAAAGAAGTGGAAATTATTCAATAACTTTCGTGCTAAACCTTCACTAGAAATCAACTGCCAAATAATGCCAGTAAATAACCCTGAGCATCATCATTTCCTAAAAAGGAGTCAGTGCAGTCATTACAATGATGAGTTAGATGGGCACTAAAAATGATGGGTTAGTCAGGATTATAGGCTGGGGTTCTGTGCGGTTATAGTTTCTGACCTCAGTATTCCACACATTTTTTAATTGTGAAACATCGCTTTCTGCCTAGCAGTTTTCTGCTCATGGGCTTACTCTCCTTTCCCATCTTCCCAAGGGGGCTCAGAAAGGGTCCCCCAGGGCTGTACCACAGCCAGCAAGAGATGATTAGCACTGAAGATAGCCACTGGCTGGTTATATATGTGCAGTGAACTGCACAGGGAGAACAGAACCCACGAGAGGACTGCGTTTGCTCAGTAGCTGTGGGCTGGGGATGTAGCTCATTGGTGGAAAACTTACCTAACAGGCAGGGTGTCCTGGGTTTGAGTCCCAGCACCATTAACGAAGTTAGGAAGGAAGGGGAAAGGGAAAGGGAAGAGAGGAAGAGGGAAGGGGAGCTAGCTTTAGATTTTAACCCCAAACCTCTTTTTTAAAAACAAAAGGAATTTACAATTCAATATTTATTTTGGTCAGTCATGGGGCTTGAGCTCTGGGCCTGGGTGCTGTCCCTCAGCTCTTCAGCTCAAGGTGAGCGCTCTACCACTTGAGCCATAGCGCCACTTCCGGTTTTTTGGTGGTTCGTGGGAGGTAAGAGTCTCACAGCCTTTCCTGCCTGGGCTGGCTTTGAACTGTGATCCTCAGATCTCAGCCTTTGAATAGCTAGGATGTCAGGTGTGAGCCACCGGCGCCCAGCTTCAAGTGGATTTTTGACTAGAAATAAAATGCATTCATACTAGTTGGCAAACACAAGACGACTTTTTTATTTTACAAGCAGCTTAAACCGCTCTGTGTTGAGACTGTATTTCTATGCATACCTTGTGTGCTTTGGGAAGAAGTAAGCCTGGAGGCTTTTTCCTGAGCACGTATCCTCGCGTGCCCTTTTGGAGGTAAAAGGTAGGATTGGACTGTCCTGACCTAGACAAAAACAAAACAGAAAGGCCAGCCATAAAGATGTGTTTTGCTTCTTCCCCCGCATCTGCCTGAAATGTCAGAAGAAACAGGAAATTGAATGAATGATTGAAGGAAATCAAACCTGTGACAAAGCAGCAGGTAGAAAGGCAGGTTCCCAGGCCAGCCGGGGCTCAAGGGAGTATGAGAGACTCCATCTCAAGATAAGAAACTAGGGGTCTGGGAAGGTGGCTCAGTGGTAGAGCGCTTGCCTTGCATGCATGAGGCCCTGGGTTCGATCCCTCAGCACCATATAAGCAGAAAAAGCCAGAAGTGGGACTGAGGCTCAAGTGGTAGAGTGCTAGCCTTGAGTTGAAGAGCTGAGGGACAGCGCCCAGGCCCAGAGTTCAGGCCCCAGGACCAGAAAAAAAAAAAAAAAAGATAAGAAGCTAGCGTAGTAGTACGTACCTACTATCCCATCTATTTTGGGAAGCCCAAAATAGGAGGACCTTGTTCCAGGTGTATGGATCTAGACAAAAAGTAAGACTGTATTTCAAAATAACCAGTGCAAAAAAAGAACTGGAAGTATGGTCCAGTGATCCAATGCTTTGTCCTGCATAGCTTAGCTTCCTGAGTAGCTAGGATTACAAATATAAGCCATTCATTCCAGGTATGCTATTATTATTATTACTATTGTTGTCGGTTTTGAGCTCTTTTTGCCCAAGGTGAAGCCACTGCCGGCTTTCTAGTGGTTCATTGGAGATAAGAGTCTCAGACTTTCCTACCCAGGCTGGCTTTGAACCATGATCCTCAGATCTCAGCCTCCCGATAGCTAGGATGACAGGTGTGAGCCACCAGTGCCTGGCTCAGGTATGCTGTGATTTAAAACAAATAGACATCTCTTCTTAAGCCACTTCTCAATCCCCTTGAAAATTCTATTCACAGCCAGGCATTGGCGGCTTAGGCTGTCATCCTAGCTACTTAGGAGGCTGAGATCTGAGGATCACAATTTGAAGCCAGCCTGGGCACACAAATCAATGATATTCTCATTAAACACCAAAAGCCAGAAGTGGAGTAGAGCTGTGGCTCAAGTGGTTGAGTGCCAGTTTTGATAGAAAAGGCTCAGGGACAGTGCCTAGGTTCTGAGTTCAAGCCCCAGGACTGGCACAAAATAAAAAAATTCTATTCACCTTTGTGGAAATGCTCCCTATTCCAATTCATCTTCTGTTCCAAGACCCATTTTGCTCAAACTTGCATTTCCATCTTTCCACTGAAGTTACTTTTCAAGGTCACTGACACAAATCATGATTCTCCCCCACAGCTCTGTGGCCACTCAAGTTCCTTAGTGCCTTCCTTTTGTTTTTGTTTTTTGTTGGTTGTGGGGCTTGAGCTCTTCAACTCAAGGCAAGCTCTCTACCACTTGAGCCACAGCCTCACTTCTGGCTTTTGAGTGGTTAATTGGAGATAAGAGTCTCACAGGGACTTTGCTGCCTGGGCTGGGTTTGAACTGTGATCCTCAGATGTCAGCTTCCTGAGATGCTAGAATCACAGGCATTAGCTCTTCTTAAGTCTCCAACATCTTAAGATCTTAATATTCAATGTCTTATGGACCAGGCTCTAAATCTCCACTTTATGCAGATGTATTGTCTAGGTCAGTACGTCCATCTCAAAGCTGTAAACGTTCTACTTGCCAATGACTCTTAAATTGATCTGTATTCCAGATCTCTGCCATGACCTGCAGAGTCATACACCCAACTGCACCCTGAATTACATACACATTGGAACATCTAAAAGGCCCCTGCAAGTTAATATTCCAAAGTGGATGGATAATTCTCCCTCTAAACTTGCTTTTCTTCTGCTATCTCTATTTCAGTTCAAGATAACCCTGTATTTCCCGTTACCATGGCAAAAATGGAATGATCTCTGTTGTGTTTTCTTCAACTTTCTCTTCTTACCTACCTGACATCTTATGGGCACGTGACTTATCATAGCTACTTGGTATATTATAGATGATACTGTCTCCAATTTCAATAGTTTTTCATGCTGTGGAATCCACACTTCCATAAAAATATTCAAGCAGGCTAATGGAACATTTCTGAAATGAGATCAAGCTGGCCTGGAAGTCACTACCATAGTCCGGGCTGTGTCTTGAAATAGTGATTCTCCTGCCTCTGCTTCTGGAGTGCCAAGATTACAGGTATGCACCACCATGCTTAGCTGTGTAAATGCTGATGAACAATAAACGGAGCATGATTCGGGTTTTCATATCAATTTGAGAACGAATTCGCTTTTGGCTGGACAACTCTCCCAAAGCAGTAGCAGATCAACACGATCCACTTTTGGTTGGAGCAGGAGCTGATGTCCAAAGGCCAAGCTGGCCGAACTCCAATGGGTGAAGTTTGAACTTTGTTCTACTTGGTTTACGACACAAGGATTCCAGGCTGGAGACTTGAACTAATTTTTAATTCTACCTCTCATTCGCTCTCCTCCCACACATGAATTGGGAACTGGGGGGCTTTCCTAGTTTTCCTTTCCAGTGATTTATTGTACGACACGACGGGTTTCATCACTGTGTGTCTGCACAATGTATATCATGTACTTGGATCTAATTCACCATCCCTATCACCTTCCATTGCCCCCCCTTACCCCCGCCCCTCCGCAAGCAATCCTCCTGTTATGTTCAGGGCTTCTTGTGTTTTATTTGGATTTATGGAGCTAGATTCTGGACATGAGAGAAAAACATGTAGCATGTGTTTTTCTGAATCCAGTTGATTTTGCTTAACGTGACGGTCACGCGTTCCATCCACTTTCCTACAGATGCCATCTCATTCTACTCTATGGCTGAATAACACTCCATTTTTTCCCCCCTTGTTGTATTTGTACCGTATTTTCTTTAACCATTCATCTTTGAGGAGTACTTACGCTGATTCCACAACCTGGACCCTGTGAATTGTGCCACAATAAACACAACTTGTTCACCAGTCATTTTATAATTGCATGATAGCTGAACTTTGAAGTTTGGTCTGTTTTGTTTACAACACAGCCTTCTAGGTTAGAAGTCTTGCTAATCTTTGTTTTCACTGTCCCTCCCACTATCTCTTCTTGGGAGTTGTTGCGGGGTGGGAGGGCTAATGTGTATTTGTGTGTATGTGTGTGTGTATACCAGCCAGTGCTGGGGCTTGAACTAACTATGGGCTTTTGGTTCTTTTTTTTACCTAAGACTGGTACTCTATCACTTGAGCCATGCCTCCAGTTCTAGCTTTTTGATGGTCGATTGGAGATAAAGAGTCTCTTTGGACTTTTCTGCCAAACCTGAAATTGAACCTCCATCCTCAGATCGCAGCCTCCTGAGGTACTAGGATTAATTTTTAACCCTCTCTTCCCTCTGACCCATTTCCTTTTCTACTATTTGCATGGTTACGGACACCAACAGTTAAAACATCAATGTGGTAGAAGACTACTATTACCGCACTGTTATTGCAACGTTTGAGTCCTTCCTTCCAAATGACTTCAGACCATTTTAAGACAAATCAAAAAGGAAAAAAAAACGGACAAGTATTACAAATCAGGAGAAAGGTTCTCCAAGTTTATGTAACATAAAACTCCAGAGAATGAGGCAGATATAATTTCCTGGAAGCAGGGACTCCCATAATCCTCCTTTGTTTAATTAAAAAAAACCCACTATTGTAAATAAAGTATAAAATTAGTTTGTGTCAATTATCAAACATCAGACTGAAAACTAGATGGGTGGTAGTGGGGGGGGGCAGGGAGAGGTACCTTCCTAGAAACTCAATTTTATTCCTTAGGATCTGAATACATACACACTCCAGGGAAACAAAGCCAATTAAGGGGGAGGGGGAGCAGGAGGAGTGGGGAAGAAGGGGGGAGGAGGAAGAAGAAGAAAGCTCTTTTGTGTTAAAGTTAAGGGTACAAAAGGTCAGGAAGGGCATTCCTTAGGATCTCAATACAGACACACTTCAGGGAAATAAAGCCAATTGGGGGGGGAGGAGGAGGAGAAGAGGAGGAGGAGGAGGAGGTGGGGGGAGGAGGAAGGCCTTTGGAGGAGGAGGAAGAAGCGGAGGAGGAGGAAGAGGAGGAAGAGGAGGAAGAGGAGGAGGAGAAAGAAGAAGAGGAGGAAGAAGAGGAGGAGGAGGAAGAGGAGGAGGAGGGAGGAGGGAGGAGGAGGAGGAAGGAGAAGGAGGAGGTGGAGAAGGAGCAGGAAGAAGGAGGAGGAGGAGGGGGAGGAGGAGGAGGAAGAGGAGGAGGAGGAGGAGGAAGAGGAGGAGAAGAGGAGGAGGAGGAAGGAGGAGGAGGAGGCAAAAGGAGGAGGAGGAGGAAGAGGAGGAAGAGAAGGAGGAGGAGGAGGAAGTGGTGGAGGAGGAGGAGGAGGAAGAGGAGGAGAAGAGGAGGAAGGAGGAGGAAGGAGGAGGTGGAGAAAGAGGGAGGGGGAGGAGGGAGAGGAGGAGGAGGAAGGAGAAGGAGGAGGTGGAGAAGGAGCAGGAAGAAGGAGGAGGAGGAGGGGGAGGAGGAGGAGGAAGAGGAGAAGGAGGAGGAGGAAGATGAAGAAAGAGAAGGAGGAAGAGGAGGAGGAGGAAGAGGAGGAGAGGAAGGATTTGAATTTCACTCTTCCCACAAGATTCCCTGGCACAGAGAAGTTGGCTTCCCTTCCGGCCCGCTAGCTGGGGTTCGCCGGAGAGGGGACGCCGCGCGGCCCGAGCTGGGGGGCGCGGGGCCTGCAGAGGCCTTCAGGCCCGGGACGCCCCGTCCGGGACGGATAGATACCTGAACTGAGTGACACGGAGAGCAGCCCGGGGGTCGGCCCCGAAGCCAGGCACGTGCTGGCTTAAGTAGGCCTCCAGAGCATGGCGGTCGAAACGGTGCTGAGGCCGCACCTCGGTGGTGTCGGGCTGGCCGGGGACTCGGGGCTCCATGGCTGTCCGCCGCCGCCTCTGACAGACCGGCCGCCAGCGCGCCCAGGTCAGCTATTTAGGGAGAGGTCCGGGGGAGGGGCGGGGCCTGATTCTAGCCAATCACGCGCGCCCTGAGCGCCGTTGCTAAGCAACCCCGGTGGGCGGGGCTCCGCCTGACGGGCAGAAGGAAGACTCAACCCTGTGTGTGCAAGAGGAAAGAGTCCGGCGGGATCGAGCGCTCTGGAATAAAAAGGTCCGGAACGTTTCTCGCCGCGGTCTTTATTAAGTTAGAAACGTCGTCATCTATCTACTCGTGATGGGCACCTACGATCCTCCCGAGGCTATTGCCGCTGCCTGTTCTAGAAGAATTTGCGGAGGGGGAAGCGGAGCGATGACGGAGGCTCACCGGAAGTGGGCTGGGGGAGCGATGATGCCGACGCACCGGAAGTGGGACGGTGGGCGTGACGGAGACGTGTCCGTCCCGGCGGCTCTGGAGGGAGGAGGCCCTGGCCCTGGGAGTCGGCGGCGGGTGAGGGAGGCGACGTCCGAGCGGCC